GAAACTCACATAAAATCATACTGGTTCAAAGAGAGGAGCTGAAGTCAGTCAGTTTCAAGGAAATATAACAAATGAGTTGCATCTGAGGGTATTTGTAAAGTGGGTGCTTATTCAAAGGAGAAAAGTCTCTTTTATCAAGGATTTCACTGCCGCTCTCTTATAGGGAGTTCTGTTTATGTGCATGTTTGTTTCTCTGCATAAAGGTCCCCACTCGTGTATTGTGAAAGTGCACAAAGCAGTGTTTGATCCATACAAATGCAGACCTGACTCCATTTTGTCTCTTGCGGTTCAGAGTGCTAAAGACTGTCAGTAAGAGCGATTTCCCTTGTCTGTTACTTTACATGTAAATCTAATTTATCTGTTAAGGCGTGGAGGGGATAAGCTGCAGCGCTGGCTCACTCTTGAATTGTATACATGCATAAATAAACACACACATTCACACACACACACACTCTTCGACAAAATCCCAATTTTCCAGGTGCAGAGGTCTGTAGAATGGAGCCAGAGCCACTCATAAGGAAACTGCATTATTCTCCATCAGCACTGTGGAGCGTCCAAGCTATTATACCATCCACCACTAGCATGCACATACAAATGCAGTTTACCACTTGACAGGGAGCGCGATGGGGCCTGAAAAGCACAAGGGTATGAGTGGGATTGTGCTCGATCAGCGGCAGAGTAAATTCATTTTCATATTCCGTACAGAATATGCTCCACTTGTGTTGCAGTGATTTAATGCAAGATGACTAAGTGCACATCTCACAGACACATTATACAGCATTTGGAGTTGAAAGCTCACCAGAGTGTCAACATGTGTATATTTCCTTAGATCAGTAGATCACTGTGTTTCAGCTCCGCGCGAGTCTTCACAATGTGTCTTCTCGAGATCAAGTCTGAGCATAATGCAAATTTATAGCATAATAAAGTCGTTAGAAGTACATAAAGGTAGATGAATTGAGCATTCCTCTCTTATACAGCAGTTTCACCTGGGTGGTGATAATAAACAATAAGAATAAATGATGGTTCTCTCCACTCTTTCCACCCACTGTAGGCAGAGAGAAAACTGGATTTATTCAGACAGCTAATGCACACAGTGACTCAGAGTGTATACTGTGTGTGGATGAAATGGGCTCGAGAGGCTTTTCCTCTCACACAAAGCAAATATCTCTTCAGGAATAAGATATTGATTTGTCATTTCCCAGAGCTGAAGCTGAGTAAACAAGCTAAGCAGACGTGTGACCGGGGAAGGCTGATAATTATTGTCCGGTAACAGTCAAAGGCCTTGGGAGGAAATGATACTCTAGACTCAGATGTACTGTATATCCTTCATCATTCACGTGGCCGTGCATGTACCTGTAAACACACACACAGACACACGCACACACACACACACACATCTCCTGTTTGGTATTCAGTCAGTGAATCCTTTCTGCTCAAACAAAATAATCAAATATTTATTCCCATGTTTACAGCATTCCACTTCCGCGGTATGAGCAACAACACATTTCTCGGAGTCGACATGAATGTTTGAGCGTCTCGTTTTGAGGAAGGGCGCCCAGAAGAAAAGAAGCCATTTAGTTTACAGGTTAGCAATTTAGATGAACAACAACAACAGTTAAGTGTCTGTCTCCTGGTTCAGGAATTTGAGGTCATTTCAGCAACACAGCATAACACATACACACACACACACACACACACACACACACACACCATCTTCTATTCTGCTTTTACATCTTTGTAAAGGACATACACACAGATTATTATTTTACATTGCATTATTATTTGTACCATTATATAACAGTACTACATTGCTACTATATTGTTATTTTTGTACTTTTATATATGCCCGAAAAGATTACTGAACGGGCTTATGGGCACAGGCCCAGAGGCCCAAAGTATCAGGGGCCCCTCTGGCCTTCACCTTCAAAATGGCACTCAAATGTATATTAAACACATATCTATACCTATATGTACCTGGTGGACTCTAGTGTTGTCTGTGTTGTGTGATAAAAAGAGGTCCAGACCGTGGATATCGCTGGAGGTGATCTCCGTTTATTCCTCTTCTGACAGCACATGGCAAAAACAAAATCCTCCGTCAAACACAACCATACAAACTCCAGCCCCTACACAAATTAAGTGACACAGGATCATGTTGGCATAAAATAACCATATAAACACAGCTTAACAGCGCTAAAACACGGAAGTTACCATAAGAGCAATGTTGCTTACCTCTCCCATGGAGCACAACAGCAAAAGGGGAGACGTAAGGCGTGAAACACCCCTTTATAGGTGGGGTACCCCCAGAGGTGAACATAAGGGTACAGAGTATCAGACATTCCACATGTTGAGTACAGAGGTCAAAGTGTGTCAGGTAATAACTGAAACAAATTTTGTGGAATTATAATACTCAATATTACAAATGTATATTTGACTTGTTACAGTTACACGTATTACTGCTGTATCACTGACCTAAATTTGTAGTACAGGGGCGTAAATATAGACAGTGCAGGCAGTGTGATTGCACTGGAGCCCCTTGGGTGAAGAGGCCCGTAGAGAGAATGGGCCCATGTAAGTGATTCAGATTGCCGCCTTGGAAAGAGACCTGTGTTCAAAGTGGAATGATTTAAAAAGAAAAAAAGAATATCATTAATTTAAAAACAGTGCTATTTGCTGTATATGTCCTTAGAAAAGAAAACCCATCTGCATCATGGTGTTAGTTTTTATTTTTTTAAGTAGTGAGTAGATATCTAAAACAAAATGGCATGCTTTTCTCCATCAGCTATAAAATCTATAAATGAGCTATCAAATCTTCAATTAGATTTAGACATTAGATTAATTTCTTACTTTCTTTGATGTTTTTTTGTCAGATATGCAATGATGATTTTTGGGTATTATGTATGTTTTTTTTGTGATCTAATTTTTATTTTTGTTTCGACCACTGACAAGACAATACACATAGAACCAGTGTGTAAAACAATAACAATACGCACCAAAACTAAAATAAAGATAACAAATAAACCATAAAACAGAAGGAAGCAAAAAAGTCAACAACAACCAAAGAACAAAGGACAGGACAACAACGTAACCTGAATCATCATTTAACAAAAACAAAGCAGGTACACAAGGTATATTTTTTCCAATAATTATAGAGAGTGCAGATGCAACAGAGTGCCAAAAGGTGTTAACCTTAGTACAGTCCCACATCATATGGACATATGTGCCTGGTGTACCCTGAGGACAAAAACTGCAATTGGGGGAATGAGTAGCTGAAAATTTTGCTAATTTTAGGGGGGTGAAGTGGGTTCTCATGACGAAATTGTAGTGAATCATTTGATGATCGGGGTTCCTGGAGGAGAGTTGTATATTGGACCAAACTCTAGACCAGTTAATGCTCGATAGACCTAAATCCTTTTTCAAAATTTTGTAAATTGGCAGTTGCTGTGCGGTGAACTGGATGAGTAACGAATAAAGTTTTGATACGAGCATATACTGAGCATTGGAGGTATAAAGCCTATGGATAGGAAGAGTATGCAGATTGGTACCCCAGGGAACACCAGGCATTGAGATCTCAGCTGTAAATAAAAGAAGAATGTGGTACCTGGAAGATTATAGGAATCTTTAAGATCTTGGAAAGCTCTGAGTCTATTACCTTGTATAATGTCTGCTAGAACATGGATTCCTTTTCCTGGCCACCTGGGGAGAGATATAGGTTTGCCATCCAATGTAATAGAGTAGTTATTAAACAAAGGAACATTGAGATATTATGTATGTTGATGTTTTGAAACAATAGTGTGCATAAGGGCCCGTCATAATTATGTGCACTATGGCCCGTATAGCTTCCTTAGGCCACTGTTTAAGTATACAGGGTATGTTGTGTATTCAATTTTATTTATAAAGCCCAATATCACAAATCATAGTTTGCCTCACAGGGCTTTACAGCATAAGATATCCCTCACAACTAATAAGGAAAAACTCCCCAAAAAAACCTTTAACAGGTAAAAAAACGGTAGAAACCTCAGGAAGAGCAACTGAGGAGGGATCCCTCTTCCAGGACGGACAGACGTGCAATAGATGACGTACAGAACAGATCATAACAACATAATAAATTTACGGTAATACGACATAGGGCGGCACGGTGATGTTGTGGTTAGCACTCTCCCCTCACAGCAAGAGGGTTGCCGGTTCGATCCCGGGTGTGGGAGCCCTTCTGTGCGGAATTTGCATGTTCTCCCCTTGTCTGCGTGGGTTCTCTCCGGTCCAAAGTCCAAAGACATGCAGATTGGGGACTAGGTTAATTGATAACTCTAAATTGTCCGTAGGTGTGAATGTGAGTGTGAATGGTTGTTTGTCTCTATGTGTCAGCCCTGCGATAGTCTGGCGACCTGTCCAGGGTGTACCCTGCCTTTCGCCCGATGTCAGCTGGGATAGGCTACAGCCCCCCCGCGACCCTCAAGAGGATGAAGCGGTTAGAAGATGAATGAATGAATAATACGACAAAATGAGACAGAGAGAGAGAGAGACAGAGAGAGAGAGATGCACAGCAAAGACAAAAGATACAATAACATGAATTTTAGTTGTAGGTATATATTAATATATGACAGTATCTATGTGACAATAATAATCATATGTTTGCAATAACAGAAGTATGACTAATGGTAACAGCAGTAGTAAGTGTGGTGATATATTGCTTCAGAGGTATTTCACTAATAGTTTAAGTCACTCGTAAGTCACTCGTGGTCCTATGTGCTGCTTGTATAATACAGTATTATCTCGTATCATCTTATCTTTATTCAGATATTGTGTTATTATTCCATTAAACAGCTTCTCTCACTACAGAGTGCAATGCGTCATCACTTCCACCAGATGTCATCCAGTCCTCACAGCCACTGCAGAGTCCTGCAGTTTAGACATCCACCCACAGGATGGAAGCACACAGAAATATAATGATGGTGGTAACAGATATTTTCAGCTGCAGTCTGTGGAAGCAGACAAAGAAGAAGAAGAAGCAGCGGGAGTAAAGAGGTCTGATGCAAGTGATCCAAGTCATGTAAACAGAGGAAATGTTTCCGTATGTCTGCAGAAAGCTGTCTTTGTTTAATCGCGTTTATCCTATTACTCCAGCTGATACATTAAATGGTAAGAGTCTTATGGGAGTACATGGTGTCTGTGACATAAAGCCGTGCTCTGTGTTAGTGTGAGGCGCATCTGGAGCTGGAGGACAACAGATGCTGTGTCAGGAAACAAGGAAGTCCGGACATAGTGATAATCAGCATGGGACTGCTACTGAGATACTGGTGTGACGTAGTAACGAAGTAAACACAGAAACATACGCTTTATATATATATATATATTTTTTTTTCTTTTCTGAACAACATTGTAAAGGAGTCTTTAGGATTTATGGAGGTATTGTGCACAACATTGAACTGACTTTTTCATATTAACATGATCAGTTAAACTTCAAAAGAGTCTGCTTGGTAATAACTTACACATGTATGTGTTATTAAATGTGCAAAATGAATCATTCTGAATCATTCAAGGATTTAAACCCCATCAGCTGTCTTTAAAGCTAGGTCATAACCTTTATTCAGATGTCAGCCTCAGTAGCCTAAAATTCCCACACAGTACAGTGTGCCTCATCAGCAACTAGGGGATCAATGGGCAAAAATTACTGTAGATAATCTGCTATTACCTATAAATGATATCTGTTACCCTTTGAAACCTGAGCAAGTTGGTTTGGATTCTTTCAAATACATGGGAAGAAGGCAATAAGCAACGGAAGATGAAATGGCCCAAAAGTAAAAAGCAAAAATGAGAAAGAAAAACAAACAAAAAAAAAGGTATTAAAAACAAAAAATAAAACAGAAAAGAAAGTTGAAAACAAACAAACAAGGAAATTACCTGGAAAAAGAGATAATTATGTAATATCATTTTAAACATATAATAATGATAATTATAAATATAATTATCCCCGTAGCGTTTTTTTTTTTTTAATAATTTTTTTGTTATTTGTGGAAATTTTTTCCTGGTAAAAAACAAAAACAAAAATTATGATCAAGAGAGTGCATAGAAATTATAATAAGTCTGTAACATAATTATAAAAAATGTAATTATACATATAGTTTGTCCCTAGTTTTTTTTTGTTTTTTTTTTTATAATTTCCTAAATCTAATTTTAATTTATTTTTTTGTTTGTTTGTTTGTTCGTTTCTGTAAGTTGTGGATTTTTTTTGACCAAGTTGCTTAATGCCATTTTTCCCATGTTTTTTTTTTAAGGAAATTGCACCAATTTACTCAGTGCTCAAAGGTTTGAATACTTGTGAAAGACATCTGAAAGTCTGAAAGCAGCACAAGAAAAGTGATGTTGCTCCAGGTTTTTCAAGGGTTAACCAAAGACAGTAAAGCTTACATTACTTAAAGAAGTAAACTATGCACCACTGTGAGAATCTAAATGTAAAATATCTGACCTGAGGACTGAAGATAACTGAGATTTGTTGAACTGCCACAATATATTGCTTTGCTTTTGCAGTTATTTTAGATTTGATGCATCCTTCCATTAAAAGAATCAACCATCAATTTATTTTCTCATTCCAGTGACATTTGGTCATGGCTGAGGATCCAGCAGCAGAAATCCAGCTACTCAGACGCCAGAAGGTCAAGCTGATCGAAATTCTGAGCGCAGACGCTGACTTTGTCCTGCAGCATGCAGACTCTCGCTGTCTGCTGTCTGTTCATGGGTACCAGCAGGTGAAATCCTGCCGTGTTCCCAGTGAGAAGGTGACAGACCTGTTGGATCACATCATCCACAGAGGTCCTGAAGCAGCGCAGGGTCTGCTGGAGCTGCTGAACGACCAGGCCCTGCAGGAAACCTTCCCATTGCTTCACTTTCTAAAGGATCTGCAGGTCAACACACTGGCTACAGGTAGGACAAAATCCGTTTGGTATTTTCATCAATTCCACTATGAAGCACTGTTCAATTTTCATATTAAATATAATTTTTGTCTTTATTTATAAGGAAGAAAAGAAACATCAAGAAAGAGAGAAACAGCTCCAGACTTAGAAGAGATCATTCCAGCCAAGCAGATCTGCACCAAAGGTGGGTCACACTACACTCAAAACTGTCCCTTTGAAACATTATAGAGACCGCCGCTTGCTTTATCTGCCTCTGTCTCATTGCACAGGCTCTCGCCCAGTGAAGGAGAAGCAGCTGATGACTGTGGCTCGTACCATTGGCAGATCCTGGAGGGAGATTGGCAGACTGGCTCTGGACATCCCCAATGTGAAGCTGGAACAGATTGAAGAGGACCATTCAATCCATGTAGAGCGAGTGTTTGCCATGCTGCGCTACTGGAGCACCTGCCAGAGGGAGAAAGCCACTGCTGCTCGCCTGCACTCGCTGCTCAGTCAGGAGGACTGGGCGCTGCCACCTGAGAGCATTGACTTCCTGTTGGAGACTGACTGAGGCCTTTGCTGTCTGGTGCTATGTGAGACTGAACCCTGAAACACAGAGACTGTCATTCCACATCAGGAAATAAATAACACTTGAAGTCTTGAATACTTTATAGAATTACGCCACAGAGCCATTAAGTACCACTGACGCCTTTTGTTCAAGGTTCTTCATGTATGTTTACAATCCGTCTATAATGTTGCACCCTGATTGTTGTACTGTAATTTTACTATGTTGGTTTTTTCTGTGCACACCACATGCATTGCATGTGTCTCTGTCCTAGAAGAGGGATCCCGCCTCTGTTGCTCTTATTGAGGTTTCTTTCTTTTCTTTTTTTTACTGTTAAAGTTTTTAAAGTGGTGGTGGGAGGTGTCAGTGATCAACAGTGCTGGTCTTATTTCAGTGACAGTGAAAGTGAAACCTCTGTCGCAGACAAATGTCCATCATCATAAAATCATGAAAGTTTTGCTAGAGTTGTGACATGCTCCCTTGATCTTGATCGTTTGTTCTAAGGTGGTCTTTAAACTCAGTCCGGCTGTCTTAAGTCAGTCTTTTTCTTGTGGTGACATTCTGATAAAATCAAACATGTTTAATGATATCTCATGTGACCCTGCAACATCCCCAGTCTTGTGACTAAAAACTCTGACTTTGTGTCTTCAGATGTAAGTAAGTGTATGGTAGGCATTACACTTCTTGTCCATGACAGCTTTAATACAAAAAACTGAGTTTTGCTTTATGAAATTTCTTTGAAATAGGTGCCTTTTGTTTTCTGTTAAAAGTGTCTGTACTGAGGATTTTTATTCTTCTTTCAGTCAAGGAGAAGTGGTCATTTTTATTATCTCTGCCAGGCGTAAGCCAGTAGAGGACCAGGCGCTTTTAAGTGTGTGTGTGTGTGTGTGTGTGTGTGTGTGTGTGTGTGTGTGTGTATGTATCTGTCTGGCAGCTAATCTTGCAAACTACTGGACCAATCAGCCTAATAATTGGGCAATTTGTGAGCATAATTATGACTGTATGGTCAAAGACCTCTCATGGTTTGGGTGATTCAAAGTGTGACTGTTTTGTACCATCATTGACCATCATTGCTGACTTTGTACTTCTTTTAATCGGCCAGCAGGGGCCACATGTTTTCTGGAAATCAGCTCAACTACAAAAGCAAAAAACAATCTTTCTAAAGAAGTTATATTCTGGATATTAAACCTGTTTTGTTTAAGTAATTAAATAAAGCCCTTTACATCTGTACGTGTTTGTCTCCTATGTCTAACAGACCCTTAATGCATCACTCTTTTGACATATCTACCTCCCTGTCCTTCAGTTTCTCACCCTCTACACTGAACTTTCTACAACCTATCAGCACATATTCAACAGATTCCTTCCAGGTGCAAATCTCACATTTATCTGACACTGATTTTTCCATGGTTGCATTTAGTCCTGTATGTCTTAACCTTAACCCAGATAAAATCCTCTTTCCTACATTTACCTCTATCACACTTATAACTCTAATAGACTTTTGAATTTTGTAATACTCTCTGCCCTTATTGTCATTTTTTCCAAATTTACTGCCATGTCACAACTCCATGATGAATAACTGATTTTATGCACTTTTATCAGGTTTATCTGTAATCTCATTTCCCTCTATTCCAACATGTGCCAGTATCCAGCAGAACATGTACGAACATGTATTCAGTTGCTGTAGTTTCAGTTAGCACATATAACCCTTAATTAACAGATCCTCTCAGGCAGTTTGACCTGATTTATACTTTCTATTGCAGCTGCAGAATCTGAACATGCCACTACTTTAATTGATTTAACCCCCTTTACCCTCTGAAGATGGGAGGGTCAATTCCATCGGGCGCAGCTGTATGTCTATCCTCCTGAGACCCTGCATCGTCATATGAAAACAGTACATTTTAGGTTTGCTGTACCTCATACTTCATTCTGCTTACCTTAGTCTGCAGTCGATCCCAACGCAAAAGTAGACAAGGCACAAAACCTGATCAAATGTTATGGTTGAAACTTGTTTATTTGTGCTGAATAACATCTGTAGTTTAATACTGCATACAGATTTGATTAATTTTAGCAATAGTAACAAGCTTAGATGCTAAGACGATGTTAATTAAAAAGTACTCATTTGAAGACATGGGGACTTTATTACTGTATTATCACAGCATTTTATATACAGGCCAGTAAGGTGTGACAGACTTTTCCTACAGACAAAGAGGACATTCCTAGCTTGTAGTGTGGAGCAAGGAAAAATCATGCAGAGCTACAAAATGATGAAGAAATGTCTGCAAGAATATATAGAAATAGAAATATTTGCAATTTTGTTTTTGCACAGCCATATTCAGGTATTGAGATGAACTGTTTTAGACATGAACAGTGACCCCGTAGTAGTGACCCGTAGCATTACAAAATGTTGCATTGTTTTCAGTTTTGTCATTGCACAAAATGTTCAGGCATTGAAATAAACTGTTTTATTTTGTTTTTATTTTTCTGCTTCATTGTGACTATTAAAAATAAACCCACTGTCCACATCTTTCTTTCTTTTTTTCAAAAAGTACGTACTGTTCAAATATAATTATTAGTTTTTGGAGACCAGGGTTGGTTGTCACACTTTTTACTCTTGCTTAAGGTCTTGGCTTGAAATGGGTATCCTTCTCATTTTTACAACTTATTTTAACAATGTTTGATCTTTAAATGACTAAGGCCCCGCTCTCACAGAAAACGTTTTGCAAGTTGCAAAACATGAAGCGCATCACACTGCCTTTTTTTTTTTAATTGAATGCCACTAGTGAAAATAAAACACTTGCTGTGCCTTTTTATTGTTGCCAGGCAACCATGGACTTACCTCCTTACTTTAACCTTCCCGTGTAATCAGTAAACTGTTTATTTGTTTTATTTATTTGACAGTAATCAATATCTAGTCCCTAAAATGAACAGGTAAAGGTACTTGTTGTAGCTCCGGTTGAGGGTGAGAGGCTGTCAGCAAATAGTTTGTGGGGCACAGGGAAACAGAGATCTGTGTAGGTACACATGACCCTAAAAAAGAGGGTGGATCACGGGGAGTACCACCAGTTGGTCCAGGAGCTTCTCCTTGCTGATGGCCATTTCCAGACATATTTAAGGAGAACTCAGGGGCAGTTTGACAACCTGCTGTGTATCGTCGGGCTGTATAGCTCCAGGTATCCATCAAGTTTCTCCTCCATTGTTTACCAAATGTAAACTTGTTGTTGTGACCACCACAGAAGGCCTGCCTCTAAAATCATCTGATTGGTAATGGTAAAAAAAGATGAAAAAAAGAAAGAAAGAGAGATAACATGGGGCATTTTTAGGCTTTGAGTGGACATTTTTTCACCTCGGAGTTCAGAGCACTCAGGCAAAAACGCCAGGTGCCTAGAGCGCAGAAACTGGGAGCCCATCGCAACACAAAAAACGAAAGCAAAAAGCTTCATTCTTATTTAAAACAATTACAAAAAGCTGGCTCCAGCTGCTAAAACGCTTTATGTGTGATCAGGGCCTAATAACCTATAAGCTTTTAATAGGCTACACAAACAACACCAATGTGAAAACTCTGACCCATAAAAATGACAAAATATCTCCTCACCTCAATGTTTTGTGTATGTTCCACAAAATGAAATGAGCAGGCCAAACATGATGTCACACCGCCCTCTAGCGTAACTGTAATAAGCACTGTGACAACCAACCCCAGTCTCCCCTACTTATCAAGTACTACCAATCCCAAATAGCTCAGAGAAACTGAAAGTGCATACCAAACAAAAGCTGGGGCAAAATGTGTTGGTGTTTCCCTCCTGTCAGTGAGCAGTGGTGAGGGCAGGGGGAGACACATACCGACTAATAAACAGTCTTGGCTCAACACCTGTTGCCATGGCTGCGACCCGGTTTCATTCGGTCCTCAGCTGCTCGGTGCCACTGAGGGCGTTTCAGCAGTGGAGTGTTCTGCCTGCCTCATTGTGCGGACTTGCAGATTTCGTTGCATTGGGCATTTCCCCTTGATCTTTGTGCTTCTACCTAAAGTAAGTAAGTCAACTTAGTTATATAATGTTTCTGTTGTACTGTGTTTACTGTGTTGTATCTTACAGACAAAGTTAGGACCGTTAATAGTCCTGGAATGAAATACATGGGTCAAAGATTTGTGGCTGTGTTTCACCTACTATAAATGCATTCATTTTCATAATCAAATCTATGTTTCATGCACCTTGCATTTTGGTGTGTGTTAATTTTGGCGACTTTTGTCATCATGCAAAGAAGGGCAGACGAGCTGTGCATATATTCCACAGCTACGCTAAATGAACTCATTATATCACAGTTGCTGCCTCTCAGTTTTACTGTCTGTATACTTTGATAGCAAGTAAATCTGATGCTCTTAAATATCATGTTTAAACAGGTTGACATCAAGGGAGAAGTATATGTTAGAAGATCTTGTTTCATTCATGATAAATACACATGTAAATTGATAAAACCAATTATTTTTGTCACAGACACTCATGACTCAGAGGTAACTATATTCTGTCACCCATTTTTTCTCTTCAGCTCAGACACATTAAGTAACTTACTGTGGGACAAAGGTTGACTCCCTCCCACTTCTATTGTACCTCACCCTGCCTTTGCTTTGTAGCCATTTTCCTACTGTCTGCCTTGTCAGCACAGCCAAATAAAGGGGCAGAGATTTGCCAACTTGTCAGAGGCGTGGATATGGCAGACATGCGTCCATTTTCAGGTGAGTACAATGCAACAAGTGTATATATTCTTTTGTAACACTTGACATTTTGAAGTGTTTATGTGTGTTATTGTTCTAAAAGCAGCAGATGAGCAGGGACCAGTGAATCACCGTGACCTAAATGAGCCACTAATCGACCACTCGGAGGGCCAACACTTCCTGAATGAAGCCTTCAAAATAATTATAGAGGAGGTGCTCTGCAAGGGCACAGACGTCAAGCAAAAGGTCATTAAAAAAATCACAATGGTGCCAGATTAAAGTGAGTATTCTGTACAAAACTCAGAATCCATGTGTTGTTGCAGGTATGTGAATGGAAGGAGCCGGAGGAGCTGGCTGTGCTGCTGGATCTGGAGCTGAGGCCGACGGGAGAGCCACAACAGCAGCTCCTGCAGAGAGTCAAAGATGTCGCCAAGTACAGCATCAAGACAAGTAAGGGTGCCAGAGACTGTGGAGATATTTAAATAGGCTGACCCTTTTTTCATAATGAAATTTTTCTTGGTTCTTTCAGGTCACCCTCGCTTTTTTAATCAGCAGTTTGCAGGAGTGGACTATCACGCCCTGGCTGGACGATTCGTCACTGAGGCTCTCAACACTAACCTGTAAGAATTTAACATAATGTACGACTAGAGCATTTAAGCACATTATTATACAGGGAATAGGTGACTAAGTCTGTAAAATATGATGCAAATAATACAATAAATACGGTAATATGACTGTGTTAGGTAGTGGTTGAAGAAGTAAAGGTAGCAATAGCCTGTAACGTTGGCTGGCACAGACAGAACAGACGTAAATCTACAAGCACAACTCCAGACAACAAGTTAAGAGCAAGTCCAAAATCTTTAATCAAAGAAACAGGCAGAGATCAAATCCAGGTAGGTAAACAGAGGCAGCGATTTAGAGTCTGGAAAAGCAGGCAGAAGCAGAAGGCTCAAGAAAGGCTGGCATGCTTTGCATAATGCAGAACACAATCTGGCAAAGGCCCTGTGGAACTGGGCCAGTGTATATATCACTGTGGTAATAATCAGAGAAACTGGAAGCAGGTAAGTGAGGGGGAGGAGCAGGTGGTGAAACTGGAGTGAAGGGATTATCAGAGGGCAGCTGGGAGTGCCCTGGCCTGAATGAAAGAACAATTAGTTGCATGGAAAACCAGGCAGAATAAATGACAGATCTGGAGGGATTCGTTACGTAACCACTGTAAAAATATTCCTACATTCAAAAATAAAAGTGACAAAGTATAACAACAGAAAAATGTAGTGAAAGTATCAAAATGTAAGCGTATCTGCAACACAGAATAATAGTCATTGTGATGGAGCCACAATAACATTCTTTGTATTTGCTTTGATTCATGTTTAAATAACTAGATGCAGTTATGTTGTTTGTACACGGGGGGGTGCACTAGAACAGAAAAATGCAGGTAATATAGGTAAGGTGTAGGTGATGAGCAGCAGGCGTGTGACTGGGGAAGTTTTTTGACTGTGTTAAGTGTGGCATCATGAAGATTTTGTAGCGATTTGAAGCTGAAATTGATGAGAGGAAACTAACCTTTGACGGACACTTACCTGTGATGGACTCTGAAACTGTTATGTGGAAACTTACCTGAGATGAAATATGGGCATGCAGTATTTAACCTGTGTCAAAATAAATGGGTCACCGCACTCAAAGAAACCTGACAAAGTGGACATTAGTTCATTGTTGGTGCCCAGAACATGCATCCGAACAAGTTCTCCCTGTTCACCCCTCTGAAGCCTTAAATGTAATGTTTTTTATTGAAAGACTCATATTGGACAATATGTGTTGTACATAAAATCTGAATCTGGAAAGTTCCATGTCACTATAGCCTTTAAATAAATGTACTGTAGTAACACTCAAGTGAAGCAAACTACTATTGCTATGTAAAGATGTAGTGGAGGCCTGAGCAGAGAATGAAGTCACGCTGTTCTTTATTGTGGTGTACATGTCTGTATCCCACTGGCTAGCTCATTGTTGACACTTTCCACTGCACTCATACGGCAGGTACTGCTGATATTGAACACATTGTCGTGGAAGTATAGTGCCCATGCTCCAGTTTCACCCTGGTTAACAAAGTTAGTTCTGTCAGCACCGTTACCGTAGTTTAGCATTGTATAGAGTTAGCACTGTTAGCTAAAGTTAGCTGCTAGCTGCTGGCTCAGCCACCACCATTTTAAGAACGATGTGCAGACAACTCATGCGCTCTTAATTTTACATAGAGCTGGGGTAATATTTGTGAGCCTGTGTAAAATGTGTAGTGAAAAGCTATACAATATGAAATACAGTCCTAAAAACACATTTTGTGTGTCACAGCTTCACATATGAGGTGGCCCCGGTGTTTGTGCTGATGGAGATGGAGGTGCTGAGAGGGCTGCGGCAGCTGGTTGGCTGGACAGAAGGTGATGGTCTTTTCTGTCCTGGGGGGTCTACCTCTAACATGTACGCTATGAACCTCGCACGCTACCGACTCTTCCCAGAGGTCAAAAGTCAGGGGCTGTGGGGTCTCCCACGACTTTCCATCTTTACATCTCCAGAGGTCAGGAATGGTCGGGGGCTGATGACACTGAGGAGAGGATGAGATTGAAACTGTGTCAGAGGATCACACTGTAGTTTATGTGATGTCTTTCCAGAGCCATTACTCTGTGAAGAAAGGGGCTGCCTTTCTGGGCATTGGGACAGACAATGTCGTCATGGTGAACGTGGATGATGGGTAATGTGTTCAATATAAGAGGGACAATTGATTAATAGATGACTCCATCAACTTTCTAAAAGGTTGACATTTCAGAAAAATGGTTCCATTTAATATGAGAATTTACAGCTTTTCTCTATTTTATGTAATCAAAGTGGGATATATTTGGATTTTTGGATATTGGTCATATGAAACAAGCAATCTGAAGGTGTCACCTAGGGTGTTATTGCATTATTTACTGGCTTTCATCGCTTATTCTAAACACTAAAAATGATAACTTTTTCTTTGCCTTTTTCCATGCTCACGTCAGAGGCCGCATGATTCCAGAGGACCTGGATGAAAAGATAAAACTGTCAAAATCTCAGGTAAATTCACAGATGTTTAGTAAGCACTCAGATCTACAGTATCACTGTGTTTTGGGTTGCTTGTATTGGTTTTAATAGTGAGATATTACTCGCTGTAAAACGTATTGTACGTCTTGCAAAGCAGAAAGCACCAAGTACAAGACAACTGTGTTCACATTTAGTCTGTTTCCACCAGGGTGCAGTGCCCTTCCTTGTAAGCTGCACATCAGGGACCACAGTGCAGGGTGCATTTGACCCACTGGACCGCATAGCTGATGTCTGTGAGAAACACAAGCTCTGGATGCACGTAGACGTAAGTCCTCGTGTGGAAGAATAGTCCATGTCTATCAGATGTAAGAACAAGTATAGATTTGTGTGTTTTATGGTGTGTTTCAGGCTGCCTGGGGAGGGAGTGTGCTCTTCTCCAAGCAACACAGACATTTGATGAAAGGGGTTGACAGGTATTAATATGCATGCCCGAAAAATGTGTTTTCATTATGAGGAAGGCACGTTTTGTCTGACATAGTTGGGCAGATATGGTCATAGAGAAAATACAGATGATACATTGTTTATGGTGTGTGTGTTTTTGTGTCTGTGTGTGACAAGAGCAAATTCAGTAGCCTGGAATCCACACAAGATGCTGGTGGCCGGCCTGCAGTGTTCTGCCCTGCTGCTTCAGGATACCACGGTTTGAGGCTACAGCATTATCCATCACACATAATAATGTTTATCATAAGGTACCTCTGAACTTTTTGAACTTTTTTGTCACTAAGTTCTCCTTCTCCTCAGAACTTGTTGAAGAAGTGCCACAGTGCCAACGCCACATATCTCTTCCAGCAAGACAAATTCTATGATGTGAACCTAGACGTGGGGGATAAGTCGGTGCAGTGCAGCCGCAAGGTCGACTGTCTGAAGTTGTGGTTGATGTGGAAAGCTGTTGGCTCCACTGGCTTAGCCGAGCGTGTGGACAAAGCTTTTGTTCACGCAAGGTAGGTATGCAGCTGTAGCACAACACGAGCCTGACATAGGTTGGGTAATAAATTAAAACATATCTGATCTTAAAGAGGCGTTGTTTAAAAGTGATGCTACTTATCTGCTATCTGTTAGCAGCACAGTGGTACAGTGGTTAGCATTGCTGCCTCACAGCAAGAGGGTTCGTGGGTGGGGTTTGCATGTTCTCCCCATGTCAGCGTAGGTTTTCTCCAGGTACTCCGGCTTCCTCCCACAGGTCAAATTAATTGGTGACTCTAAATTGCCCGTAGGTGTGAATGTCAGCGTGAATGGTTGTCTGTCTCTATTTGTCAGCCCTGTGATAGTCTGGTGACCTGTTCGGGGTGTACCCTGCCTCTCGCCCAGTGTCAACTGGGATAGGCTCCAGCAACCTCCAACAGGATAACAGATAATGTGAATAAAATGAACGAATGTATTCGTCTATCTCAATTTTTGCACGTCAAAATAATTTAACCGTCTATCAGTGAGTTAGCTATATAGGTGTTGATTTTCCTGCGGGTAAATATCAGAAAGAAGGTACATTTGGGCCGTCCTGCATAGGTTAGGATACTTGTAGGCTACTTTTGACATCTAATCCAATCTTGAATAATACGGCAGGAATATTATTATTTTAATCTTCATTTATTTTAGGAAAACTTTTAGCTGAGTTGTGATCCAGACCAACAGAAAGTGAAAATTATCATCTCTCCTGCAGGTATCTGGTGGAGCAGATGAAGAAAAGAGAAGGGTTTCATCTTTTGCGTGATGTAAGTAAACATCTCAAGCATACTGAGAAAGATGAGTTGTTTTCTCCCTGCAAATTAAATTTCAATTTATTATTTATTTGTTAAATCCACACAATCCACAGGCAATTGGTAGCTGAAATGCAACTTCTACATATCCCTCTTTTTACATACTACACATGCAATTAAGGGGGTAGCGCAGGGTCGGATATGGTACCACGCCCCAGGAGCAGCTTGGGGGTTCAGTGCCTTAAGATATCCATAACAATTTAATTTCAAAGTACTGTGTGTGTTTCTGTTTCCATGTACAGCCAGAGTTTGTGAATGTATGCTTCTGGTTCATACCACCCAGTCTGAGGGGGAAGGAAGGAGATGCAGATTACCAGGACAAACTGGCAAAAGTAAGTTTCTGTATTACATCAGCGGACTGGCAACATAAAGAATAAAGATATTAAATGTTTAACTCTTCTGTTGCACACATGCATTAAGCACTCAGACTCAACTTTTTAATTATTTGTAGTATGCATACTTAATTAAAAAAAAACAAACAGCTGACTGTGTGTGTGTGTGTGTTTTGTTCTTGGTAACAGGTAGCTCCGGTAATCAAGGAGCGCATGATGAAACAAGGCACTATGATGGTGGGCTACCAACCTTTGGGAAACAAGGTCAACTTTTTCCGCGTTGTTGTTTTGTCTCCGCTGATTTCGCAGAAAGATATGGACTTCTTCCTTGATGAAACTGAAAGACTGGGAAACGACTTGTGAACAAAAACACTGTTCTAACGCTGTTCTAACTCGGAGATACGACTTGCGTCATTAAAACAGCTACTGTAACAAGAGATACTAAACTCTGAAATCTGAGGACCATTGATACAAATATAAATAAATTAATTAATGATTAGATAAAGTACTGGGCCTTCATTTGTTTTCCAGTGAATCTAACAGCTGTTCTGAAATCAGTTCACTAGACAGTTTTTTGAAACCATTTGTGCAGAGTTGGGGAATTTTTATCCTAACATTTGGAGATGTAGCCTGTTATATTTTACTTTTTGTCCATCATAAAGTCTCTGAGTGGAACACAGAAACCTTTCAGTCAGAGACTTTACGATCAACTTATCACCTTTAATTACTTCCATAACTCTAGAAATGCAACCATTATTTTCATTAATATTTTGTTCTATAAAACATCAGCATACTTTATCTTCAACTATAATGTAAGACAAAGAAAGCAACAAAATCAGCTGTTTGGAATTAAATGACTTCATGTTTTATTGATTTAAAAAATAGTTGATTACATTTCTGTCTCACATTTTATTAATCAACTTTATTGAAAAAATTATACAACATTTATACATGTGAACTATTTTTTTAGAAAGTAAACTGTATAAAGCATTAGCGTAAGGTAATTGCAATAGTCCCGCTATTATGACAGGAACTAGTGCATGCAAGTAACTATTTATGTGCCTACACTAGTTACCATATAATCTTATTGTCTCGTCACATGATCAAATACAGACTTGATAGCCTATTTGTCAACACCAACATATATATTACCCAGAAATCATCATCGCATATATGTGCATGACAAAAATTTTAAGGGAAATAGGGAATTATTAATTGAATTGAATAAGTTATTATATTTTATTTAGAGATTGTGTAGAATAAGCAGATATTTTATAACATATTTGTTACAGATTGCGATTGACAATTTTACAAAAAGACCAAAGAAAACCATGATGGAGATGGGTTGTCCGTTTCAAAGGCAAATAAAGCAAATAACACCACCTTTTATTCAATGTGTTTTTTATTTAACAAAGGCATTTATCTAAGGTAGCAAATTGAATTACTCACAAGGCCCAGTTTTCTGTTCTACATTTTGTAGGAATAGGCCCCAGTGCAACTGCCCTGCCTGCCCTGTCTTTATCTACGCTCCTTGTACAAAGTCATTCCAGAGATGCTACATATTGTCAAAAAAAAAATGACAGATTGAAATTAAACATTATGGTTTTTTAAGTAGATGGTATTTTAAAATTATGAAGTAGATGGATCACCAAATAACTGATTATAGGGAAGTATGGTAGATACACTTTTCATATTATTTACAAGTTCTTGAGACTGCATTGGAATAAATTTAAAAAATACCAAAAACTTCTAAACAGGGCATGATTTGGCAAATTTACATTTGTGTATATGAAATTCATCAAGCAGGATCATGAGGTTTATCATTAAATCCAATGAATTATCAAAACTTAAAAAATAAGAAGTCATTAAAACGTGGCTATTTATTGAAATCTGCCAGCAGGTCTCACTCCCTCACAAATATGGCCGCCATTGGGGGTCACTCCGCTTCAATCACGTGACGTGGCGTCCGGCCAATCACCACTCTCCCTGTGGAGCACTTCCGGTGGCGTTTCCTGTCAGTGTTTGTAAACTGAGAAAAAATTGGAAGTGCGACAAGAAATAATAACCTCCAAAACTGTAAAAACCGAAAGGTAAGCAGCTGCTTTTCCGTCGCGTTTCAGTTGCGGCTCTTTACTTGTTTTATAATCCGCCTCCGGTGTGTGTCTAACGGCTGCAGCCGGTCAGGGAGCTGCTGTTTGGTGGTCGGCGCTGAGCCCGCACGCCCTGCCTGCCTGGCTGTTGTTGTGTTGTCTGGGGCGGGGGGTGGGGGTTCAGTCATACAAGAGTTGTCCCAAAACCCAACTACTGGCTAGCTAGCAGCTTAGCCTTTTCTGTTTGATACAGCAGAGACTGTTAGCATGCTTCACACGTTTAAACTTATAGTCTAAATATCGTGTATAAATACAAACAGCCTCCCCAGGCTGCTGTAGATGGAGCCCCGCTGCATTTTTAAAGAGCATTTGTGTAGAGATGGTCGCTTCTTTAACCGGGAATACAACGTTTTAGGATTAGAAGCTAGCGAGCTCACTTGGGCTTAGATGCATCATTTTATAAATTAGACCTCGTGTCATTTTCAGCTTTAAGAGAAATGCATTTATGCAAGCAAACATGTCCCACTAAAGTGATGAAGAGCAGTGTTTGTTTACTATGGTCTGTATTGGAAAATATCTGCATTCACACTCTATTTGATGTGAACTTAAAGGAAAATACCACCTAAATAGGGAATTCCATTATGTATTCCAGTACATGGTCTAAGAAAGTTCAATCAGTATTTGTGGACATGAGCTGCTCTCTCTCAAAGACAGAAACCAGAGCTGCTCCATAGACAATTAATGAGAGACTGATTTTGTGGACTCACATAATGTTTGTTTTCTTTTTTATACCAGACTTTATACCCCATGACATTACAAATTTGAGTTTTAGCGCTCTAGCTTTTGGATTTTGGAGAGAGATGTTTGTGTTTACAAATATTTTTGAAAATTTTTGATTGAGGCTATAGGATTAACATTTATGAATTCTGAAAATGGGAGATGTTCAGCTTTAAGACATTAACTAAAATATTCTTAATGCCCCCTGAGGCACATTCTCTGTTAATTAATTAGGACTTACATGCATTGTTACCTCGCTGTTAGGGAATAACATGTGCATATTAAATCATTTGCTTTTCAGTGCCAGTTATATAAGCCTTCTCCACTGAATTTGTGGTTATTATCTTTAACTTAAAGGTTAAACTGCTACTTGTACATTATCCTCCTAAGACCCAAACTTTTGTTTGGTATGCATTTTTAATTTCTCACATCTACTTGGGATTTGATAAGTATAAAAAAACGAAACATTGTCAACTATCATGAAGTCCCAAAGTCCTCAAACAAGACAATAGTAAAGCTATATCCATAGATATAGTCAAACTACAAACCTTACTAATCATAAATAAACAAGTAAAATGTGATCAGGTTTTGTACCTTGTCCACTTTTGTGTCAGGATCAGCTGCAGACTGACTTTGCAGAGATGGCTGCCATCTTGTTTTTACATGGATTCGTGTATTGTGCTCTAACCACGAACAAGGACAACAGGTCTAAGTTAAGAAGAATGAAGTATAAGATCAAGTAAAGCCAAAATATAATGTCCTTACATGAGGACACAGGGACAGGAGGATATGCCAAATACCACATCATGAGAGGAAAGCTGTTTTTCTGCCACAGTTTTCTACCATGTGACAATAATGAACAGGAATTGTTTTGTCTATAGTAGTAGAGTGAGATGTCATTTTATTTTAGTTTTGTCTATAGTCTTGGTTACATTTTTGTTGACAAATCTTGGCAAGTTTTTGATCCCAAGTCTAAATTCTCTAACGAAGTGCTACTCCTATTTTCACAATTCATCGTTAAGTATGTAGGTCTAATAGCTCACACAACTGTTCCTGTATGTTACAGATTTTAACGAAATGTGTTGAACCAGTCACACTAAGCATTAAAATTGCTATTCCATATACTAAAGGATTAAAGAAGTAATGAAGGTTTCTCAGTCACGAATAAGGTAGATCTTACCTGCTGAAAAAGGCAGATATTTTTTAATGTACTTGAATTGTAAAATCATTTCTGTGCACTGCATGTTCAGCTGTTTATAAAATAATCAAAGTTCAACTGAAAAAGTTCACTGGCTGCAGGGTATAGCACTTCACGTTTCTCTTCAGAACAGTGCAGACATGGAAGATAAGAGAGTCCCTAACCAGTGTTTGAATTGTATGTATATACAAATTGTGTTTTACAGTACACTTGCTGCTGTAAAACAGCAGCTCATTTTGAGATTTATGTATTTCAGTATCACCTCATATGTGAAGCATTTGTTTAATGTATCATACCTACTCACATTTTCTTACTGACTGTTTCTATTTTCCCATTGAATGTCATTATGTTTCTCAATCTGACTGTTGTGCCTTCTCTCATCCATGGAAACATGGCATGCACCAAACCATTGGGGCTTCCCTGCCTGATAAACTGCACATATTAATGCTGGATCTAAATTTCTGGTCATATATTCAGATTTGCTGATTTGTGAAATTTATTAGATCAGTCTGGTTCTCCAGCTCCTGATTCCAGCATGTGGAAATGTTGGCCTTCATGTTGTCATGCCTCTACTTTCAGGCTTTGGCCCCTGATGATTTGGGTGGGTGTGGTCTCTTCTGTTACCCCTCATCCTAAGTGAAGCCCCCTCTGTTCCCCCAAACACACACGCATTCAAACCACGGCGATGACCCACCATTCCAACAACCCTGTTCGAGACCATATGAAATGGGTCAGTGGAAGTCTCCTCATCTCCAGAATCACCTTCATGTTTTTAGTTTGTACTCCCAATTCTGATGCCAGTGCATTTCTCTGTTACTCCCATGACTCAGCTCCCTCTCCTTCCCCTTACTCCTTGTCTCCATGAGGAGTCCTTCAGCCCCCTCTCTCTGCTCTGACGTGGGTTTTTTTGTGTTGCTAGGCTGGGTTGCTGGGCTGCGAGGCGGTGCTGTCCAGCATGGCCCTGATGCAAGCCAACAACATCCCAGGCCAGAAGAGGATGATGTCACCCTTGGGTCAAGGGCACAGGGCCAGTCCTGAGAGCCACCAAACCCACTCGCAGCACAGCCACAATCACCATGGACACCAGGTCCATCATGGACAACCCCACCACAGCCACATGGGCCAGCCTTCAGCCGGGAGCTGTCCGCCACTGGTGAGAAAGAAAACTGGACGGGATCACTCAGAAAGTCTGTTAAAACCTTGTCATGAAAATGTTTTAATTTAATTATAGATGTCATGGCAGTAGTTTAAAGGTATACTATGAAGAACTGTTGTTTACTGTTTGTAAAGACAACATTCAAACTTGGCCCCTCCTCCCTACACATGTACATACACTCAAAGCTACTGTACTGTTGTAGGAACATTACATTTGTTGTAATGGAAAAGCCAATACTTAAGCGAGTTAACTAAGCTAACTGCTGGCACCTACCTAACCAAATCCATGTCACTCTTCATTATCTTCTCCAGTGCTCCCCAACTTAAGTAGAAGTGAAAGCCAATCCCAGATCCTCCCCCATTTTGAAACAAGCTTAGTCGCTTGGCATTTCATATATTTGCGTCTTTCAACACTGTCTACACGATTGTCATAGCTTCTTCTTGTATGCGTGCTGCTATTACCTGGCTGCTACCTTTTTATTAAGTCCCAGTGTCACCTGTGTGCTGTTACTGGCTAAAGCTACACGCCCTTAAACATCCCTAACACAGGAAAATAAGAGAGGGATTACTCTGACTCTACACATTATGACCACCGCCCATTTTAGCATTTGTAAACACTATACAACTTTGAATAAATTGTCTATAACACACTATAATGCAGCAGTCATCTGTTTACATCAGCCTCCACCTATGGGTGCATACAGGAGGTATAGGTGTAGTTTTGAGCTTCTAGTTTCTAGTTAACAAAAGTTCTAGTTTTTGAGGTAAAGTTATTGTTGTTGACAAATACATTATTAAATAATTACATCTACTTTTAAGTACATTAAAGTGTGCTATAAACAATTTATTCATATTCATACACTGCTTATAAATTACTAAAAACGGGGTGTTTAAGTGAAATGTTACTCTGTATATGTGAATATGTTTTTGTTGCTTGATTGCAAGTTAGCGTGTTTTAGCATATGCCACAGAATAACAGTCTCAGTGGCAAACTGATGGTTGCAGTGCAGTTTACCCACTACCATTCCTCCTCCTAAAGCTGATCCGAAAAGACGGGGATTATCACTCATCAAGAATGATGGATGGAAAGGACGTGCAGGCGAACCAGAATATGCAACCCAAGAAGAAACACAAAAAATCAGGGTCATCCAGCAAAGTCAAA